TATATCTTTACTCAGAATTAATTGTTTGCACTTTCAAAATATGGAAACTTATTTTGATTGAAAAGCAAAAAAGAAAGTTAAAGGTTGCAGGGAATAAAGCAGCGTGTTTGCGGAAAAAAATGCTATGCAACATTAAGGTATTAATATGACATTAAGCATATACAGAGCTGTAAATTTGAAATAAACAAAAGTGGCGGGTTTCCCCAAGGGGAAAATTTAGCTCCGTTGGGCCCCCCCCAAAGGAAAAGGGAATCCAGAGGGGGGATTACCCCATATAAATTGGTACATGTGCACTCTAATAGGGAGATTATATGTTATTTGTGAGTCATGGGTATATGTAGTGTAATTAATTAGCCCCTGCAAAACTGTTACCATATAAATGTTTCTAAGGATTGCATGTATATATTTGCCCCCTCAGCACAGGTTTAACATAAAAAAACTGCCCCCTGCCACCTAATGTACTGTCTTTTTTTAGCAGTAAAGTGTAATTCATTTTTTCTTGTTTTTTCTTGCATATTTATTGAACTCAATTTATTCTATGAAACAGTATGTGTATATCATTTTAAAAAAAAACATACACCATAAAAAAGAGTGCTTTTCTTGAAAAAAAGTTTTTTTTTTTTAAACAACAAAATTGAAAACAAAAACAAGAGAGGGGGGAAGCAATAAAAACGGCACATAAATATGCAGAAATAAAAGTGAGCATAATGTTTGGTATTGATACGCTTCGAACAACTACAGCTTCATCAACCGTACATTTATGATCAGCAGTGAGGAAGTTGTCATTTTAAATACAAATCATACATTTAATTATATAATTAAACAAACTAATTCGAAAGTATCCTAGAAGTTTGGCATACAAAGCGATAAATGATAAAATGAAATTTAAAAAAAAACAGCATATATTTCAGTTGATTTGAATTCATTTTATTGTCTAATACAGAAGGAACAGAAACACGCTCTTACAACTTACAAAATTTTTTTTCCTACCTTTAAAAAGAATAAAAAGGTTGTAGTACAATTATCATAGTAATGCCTTTTGATTTTTAATCTTTAACTGAAAATACAAGAGACCAATTGGCCTAAATGGTTAACCCGGGAATTATGAAAACATTCCAACTATTGAATTTACTTCGTGTTAAAACCAAAGGCCATGAATTTAATAATTTCTGAAGAGGGGCCATTTTCTATCATATGTAACTATACACTTATCATGTCATTAAGTTACTTAATTAATACCTGGAGGTAGATAAAAGGAACAAAAAAAAAAAATGCATTTACACTTTTTAACCAGTTGTACACGCTACCGCATAGAACTGCTGATCCTGGCACCAGATGCACCTTTCTTATCATAAATATGTACTCAGATCATTTCAATAAAAATTATACCCAGAGCTAAGGAGATCATTAAAGCTCGCCCTATACCAGAACCCCTGATCAAAGGGGCCTTTAAATTCACAAATGTTAAAGAAGCATCTTTCTCATTATTACAATGTATACATTTCATTGGTTTAATACCCAGGTGCAGGCAGAGAAGAATTATTTATTTCACTATACAATCATGAGAGCCCCACCCTAACATAAAAATCCCTGACTTAGGGTCCATGCGATTCACAAATTTTCGAACAGGCACCCTCCTTCAACATAAGCTTTACATGGTTCATTGGTTTAATACTCGGAAGCAGATGTGTTTTTTTTTAAAAAGAAATAATACATTTTTACTGGATATTCAACAGAGCTCCAACCTGACTCCAGACCCTGGGGCCATTAATTTCACAACTTTGGTAAAGGACTCGATGCTAATAATAATCATGCCAACAGTTTGACTGCTTTTTGTCCAGGAGTAAAAAACTTTTTAAAAGGGTTGCATTAATTCTAGTGGTTTTGGCCACACCCCAGGGCAGAGACAATGACCACAAAATAAATAATTTTTGTTTCCTTCATCCATAGATTCTATTTGCCAAAATTTGGTTGAAAATGAATAAGTGGTTTCAGAGAAGAAGCTGAAAATGTTTAAATTTTCAAAAACGGATGATGCATAACCACGTCATTTTTAAAACTCCATATCAGGAAACTCTGAAGAGATTATCCAAATTTAAAAGAAATGCAAACAAGAAATGAAATGAAAAATAGGTATTTCCCCATGTACTAATATCTGTTTAATTTTCTTTAAGCAATTTATCTATTTATCAATTTTCAAAATACAATGTAATATAGTTCTCCCCACCTTCTGCATGCAATTTTGAAAAATAAACTATTCTTGAAACTGGGTTTGAAGAAAGCATTTTTAGATTTCATTGAATCTGCAGCAGGGTTTTGTCTTAAGGAAATGGAAGCAAAGCAGGCAGGTTTTACCTGTACCCAATTAAAAAGTATAGTCCAAAACATATAGTCCGATGACGTGATGAGAAGAGATGCTGCCCAAGGAGCGAACAGGAATAAAGAAAGTAAGTCAAGTTGTCTTTTTAAACATGCCTCTTACATTTTATCGAATTGGGGACAAAAAAAAGGAGTATCTTTATCTTTTTCGTGTGTGTGAGCGGAGTTAGCGGATTGATGGCCTGTGTCTTTAATATTACAGAGACTTAAATGGTTTTGTGCAAGTGTAAATGCAGGTAACTTATAAATAAATCAGAATGAAAAAAACTGCAATATCAACAATATCTCAACTTTCATTTATTTGAATCCAGGACTTTGGGAGAACACAATATAATAAATGTAATTGGCCTAAATTGTAACAAAAGGTCAGCTTTTTTTTTAAATTAGTTAAGCAAGATTACTTTTGTTGGGTTGATTAATCCATGTGACACAATAAGGATATGGAAATAACGAACAATATTCAATCTCAACGTCCATTAAACAAATATACAAAATAAGAGCAGAGCAAACAGGACCTCCGAAACATCAGAGGTGGGATCAGGTGCCATGGAGGAGTGAGCATCCCCTGCTGACCGGTTACACCCGCCGGGGTGCTCATTGTCATAATCAGGAAATAACGGAAAAAAAAACCGTAGTCAATTCAGTGTATAAATAATGGACTAACAATTGGTATGAAAAACGTTAGTCAGCATTTCATTCAATGATAAATTGTATTTGCTGACAAGGTCATTGTATCGACCATAGAATTTACGAAATGATGACTTTAAACGAACTGTTGATATTCTTGTTTCATCAACTTGCTTGTAAAAAATTTACCTCGTTTAAGAAATTGTTCATACGTAGAGCATGCTCTTGCGTATGGGAAAAAACTGAGATATAAATACTCCGTATGCGGGGATGAAGCGCAGTACAGTTAAGGCAACATTTTCTATAAAATGTCACGGAATCCGATACATATAATGTTTCACAGTTTTATTTTTGAGAAAAAAAAATTTTTAGTTAAAATAGCTATTTCTTATCTTGAAGAGTATGTCCATCGCTTTTCACATCGGTATTTTTTGACATCATGTGACCCCCGAAGTCACGTGGGCTCCATTTTAGGTCAAGAAATAAAATGTCAAATTTAACTAAAAGTGCAAGGGCAAGGCAAACAAAAAATTAACTGCAAAATGTTTTATGTTATCCTTTTTCTATACTTTCTCAAAAGAAATGCTCATTCAGTTAGTTTTTCAATAAAATTAAGTTATTCAGCTTAAAAAGACAATAATGTTTAAAAATAGGATATTTTCGTAATTTTATTGTGAAAAATAAATTTAAATAAAGGATTACAAAGAAATGAGCATCACTTTTTGAAAACTATACAATAAAATAAATAATTTAAAATAAAAACATACTTTTTAGATTTTCGCCTTGCCCTTGCACTTTTTGATTAAAAATTGAAATCTTGGAGGAGTCAATCTAATTTTAGTTTTCAAACGCATCATTGACCCAGCATGGGAGATAACTCTTGAGTACTTGAATAGTTTGTTTACCTCGTATATTTAAATAAATATACATGCGGACAGGGCTGGCCTCTTTTTTTACTTAATCAAACGGTATGCATAAAAATCGTTGACCTTTCTTTTCTTTGTATCCGTTCTCCATATATTGTATACATTTAATGTCTTTCAAACCTCCCGCATTTCCTCAAAAGATGTGTATATATACATGCACATGTAGTATTACATACAAACAGGTCTAATTGTTGCCGATATTTTTATATAGAACACAAATGGTAAATCAAAATATAGCCTTCATTAATAATTAATTATATATCTATTCCCCTCTCTCACACTACTGTGCGCATAGGCGTCGGAACCGGGTTGGGGTTGGGGGTTGGGGGGGGGTAGGGATTAGACTCCATACTTATTTGCAAATTATATACGTAATGTAAGCATTGGAATTTACCTTTTTCTTTAGGTTAAGCCCCCTCCCCCTTTCATTTAGCCCCCTTTCATTTGCTTCCGACGCCTATCGTACACAAACTTGTGTTAATATATATTCTTTCTGCCTATGTTCCCCTATCGCTTTCAATCAGACCGTTTAATGTTAATTAGGCGATATTAACTAGGTTTTAAGTTTTAGGAACTAATTAGAAAGGATTGGATTATACTCCTGTATTCGTTAAGGAGACAGCCATTTAATTTCGAGGGGGGGGGGGAAGCGGATTTTAGAAATAAATACTTGCAGATCAGTGCAGTGATCTCCGAGTTTTAAACATTTTTTTTCATGTTAGACTTTTCAATGAAGGGGAAAATTAATCTGTCCTTCATTTCATTAATCGGAAATAAATATTAATCTGTCCTTCATTGACATGAAAATAAAAAAAATCTGATTTGGAAAAAACTCGCCCCCCTTTCCCTCAGAATCAAACGGTGGTCCCCTATCTTATTTTTAATCAATTAGGGGGATATCTAGTCTTCTGGGTTTTTTTTAAATTTTATTAAAAAATAATAAACACAAAGCACATGCTGGACTTGTATAAAATCTTTATGGGGATTAGTACCCTCCACACAAAAATGTATGCAAGTTAAGATTTTCAAATCTTAATGACCTTTTTCAACACATGAACAGTAAATAAATTAAAAAGTCAAATTATTTTATTTATCTAGAAAATTTATTAAATAAACATTTCTTTTCAAATCCAATGATAGACTGTAGGCCTAGGAATGCTGGACAGGTGCAAATTATTTCCATCACTTCATGTTCTTGTGGATAAAATGAATTCTGAAAATATGAGAAAATCAGGAAATACCATTATTGAAAAAAAATTTTGTTTTAAAAAATGAAATTGAAAAATGCATTGAAACATTTAACATAGAATGCATATACATGTTTTCAATTCTTCTGTTAGTTTTATTATCAAAACTTTGTATGATTTATAGCTAAAATTGAGCATACCATTTTCCTTAAATTAACTTTCTGCCTGGGTGAATCCATTAGTCCACGGGAAAAGCTATGCCTACAACACAATATAATATGAAGTTATTTGCTATGAAATTACTAAATATACATTGTAGAATAAAATGGCATTACATTTTACAAAAAAATGCTACATTGTATACTGTAGTTAATTTAAATTTGAAATTAGAAGGCCCCGGGAAGAATAGTACCTTGTACTTAATTGGTAGGTAACCTTCTTTAAATAAAGCATTATTATTATTATTATTATTATTATAATTATTATTATTATTATTATTATTATTATTATTATTATTATTATTATTATTATTATTATTATTATTATTATTATTATGTAATTCATATAAATGGGAAAAAATGTGTTACAAAACTTCTCTGGGAAAGTGAAACTTTTGACATTTACAATTGTTATTGATAGAATATTTTCTTTAAAAAAAAAATTCAGTTTCTCCTTTTCCAAAGTGAAAAAAAAATGTAAAGTACATGCAAACTTTAAAAATGTGAATTGCTTTAGAAGTATACATACCCTGTGGAGAAATGATGCATTTTTCATTTATTCATTCTTTAAAGTCTGATACCCTTGACAGCTGCAATGATAAAAATATTATATAAATATTTTAATGTACATGTAATCTAAAAAAAAAAATGAAGTATTTTTTTTATTACTTTAGAAATTCTAGAAAATTACAACCATAGATCTGAAGTGGGGCTTCTATGTTTTCAACACAATGATACTGATATTTTTTTTTAAATTGTGTATATTTGTCTGTCAAAAGACATCATGATTGCTTGTATAGGCCTACATGTAGTTACTAGTGAATCATTGACTGAAACAATGAAAACATATCATTTAATTTAGTTTAAATTTTTGTTACTTATGATATCCATTATTAAACATATTGTTTAAAAGAAAATGAGCTAATTGACAGGAACTCAGTACATATTTAGTGCAATTAATTTTTAATAATTCTAAAAAGTGTGAACATTGAGGGGGGGGGGTTACACACAAGGCACTGCATTACAGTTTTTCACTGACTGTGATATGATGTGAAATGAACATGAGCACACTTGGGTTTTTATGTTAACAAAAGCATGTCTACATATTGTAGATCTGCACATGTAACTACATATGCGTATACATCTGTACATACCTGGCCTGGAATTTCAGTGCAGTGATCGATCTACGGAGCTGGTGCATATCGTCTCGTTTTCTGCTATTTTCCGAAATAATGTCCTCATATTCTCGTAAAAGGAAGAAGCAATGCTGTGTCTCTTATTTCATCCCTATTTTCTTTTAAGATTGTGTGGTTATTGCATTTAAATCCACTGCAAATCTCAGCTGATGTTGCCACGGTTTTAGATGTAAACAACATTCCGTGTCACCGAGTGCAAGCGCTTGGCTGAAGCCGAATGCAGACAAACGACACATTAAAAAAAAAATTATTTTAAATACATGGTATTATATATACGAGAAAATCACTAAGTATTTTTTTTTTTAACATGAACATATTGCTGTTTATTACAAATTCTTGCAAATATCGGTGAATTGTTATTTTTAGCACCATTTCCTTATATGGATCAATCAGGGTGGAGCAACTGTCATGACGTCAGACCTCATGATGACTTCATCACCATATTATTTTCATGTGTTGCCTTAACTGACGGGGAGGTATATTGCTGCATAAAATAAGGGAAGTTGACGATAGAAAAGTTAAAGTCATCACGTTTATCATATAGCTTGGTTGTTAGATTACCATTTGTGTCTTTTTCAAGTAAAATATCCAAGTATGAAGCAGAGGTGTTGGAAATTGTTATTTTTATCTCAAGCTCACCAGGATATATCGGGCGACGTAGGAATGGAAATTATCATTATTAATTGACAATACGTCGTCGATATATCTAAATGTCGAGTTGAAGGCCACAGCAAGTGTTTTTTTCTTTTCACGCAAAAGATTTTGCATAAATTCTGCTTCATATGAATATAAAAATAAGTCTGCTAATAACAATTAAATCCATTAACCAGATATATTAATGTAGCCAGGTGTTGGATGTTGGATCCACCTATCGGTATTTGTGGTTTGTTCATTGTTTGTCTGTCTTCGTTGTCATTCGCTGTCAGTGTCACGTGATCTAGTAGGATAGAGAGAAAGGGGTTATGAGAGAGAGAGTGAGTTGTATTCACTAACAAAACCTGTTTTTACTACCTGTCCGCCCATACCCATAACCCCTCAAGGAGCAGCACGACTTATTTAATGTATAGCATATAGGGTGATGTAGATGGTTTATTATCCATATAAAATATCAAAAACCCAAGACTACAATTCGATCTCTACCGACGGGTTACAATGGCGCCCACGCTTATAATATTATTTTCGAGCCAGTCTACATTTTGACATGGGAAATCAACATAGATCGAGTGCTGAATACCCTATCATCTATACTTTATCTCTACCCCACAAAAGATTGATCTTCACTGCAGTGAACTGAAAATTACAAATCATCTTGTGATTTTGTGTATTGTGAAATTGTATCTTAATCTTTGTGATCCTGCCTTATCAGCTGTGTGATTCAGTTAAATTCTGGGGTCCGCCATTTCATTCATTCGGGGCCCGGACTTGTATATTGCGCATGCGCTTCGTACCACCATTGTTTGACTTGACCACCCGACTTATGCCGAGTGATCATCGACTTTCTTCGTTACATGACGTCACGTCACGACTTTAGCTCGAGCTAGTTAATCAAACCGAACTCAATCGCGTACGAACTATCCAGATCCGATATTCCGGAAGTGTACCTGTGAACACGAGGATTGACAATTCACTTGGAATAACATTATTTCTAAGTACTGGTAATTAAAATTTTGCATTTATTTGACTGTTTAATTATTTATTTACATGTTTATTTGTGTTTCTTGTGTTGTCACTGTGTCTTGTCCTTTGTTTTGTTCATATCATGTCATTTGTTTACATTGTCCATGCCATGTCTTTTGTTTACATTGTCCATGTTATGTCATTGTAAGCATGTACAGTATTTATGTGACAATTTGATTTATGTTTCATTTTCTGTGTTTGTTCTTTGGGTTTTTGGAATATTTTGCTAGGGTATACATTTGCACATTAGGTTAAGAGATAGCTCACAGTTACCTGCATGTTTGTAACAACACAGACTCTTACTAGAAATTCTGTTCCATTCTAATTGACTGCATTTAAAAGAATCTTAACAACCATTTAAGAGAAATGTGAGGAAGTTCAGATTATCTCAGGAGTGGTAAGTTTGAGTTTGTTGTATCAAATTTGGTGGTTATCTTTGTGTACTAGTCAGAAACAAGTTCAATAGTGTTCTATTTCAGGAGAAAATCAGGGAATTATACTCCATATTATATTTTCCCAACCGTCCTGTCCGTTTAGTTTACATGGGTTATTTTATTAGATATTTGACGTAGACAGTCCAGTCCATTTAGTTTACATAGGTTATTTATATTTGAATTAGACAGAAAAGAGATCTCAGAGTTTCCATTTTATACAATTACTTAATCATTTCCTTTTGAAAGAATTTATTGTATTTTTCTATTGAACATATCAAACGTCACTTATTTGTTTTTTTTCAGTTTGTGTGAGTGTGTGAGAAATATTTGTTTGTAAATGTTTGCATGTACATTGACACCGAGTAGAATTCTATCGAGTACTCAGACTCGCGGCGCTGTACAACTGTTCGTGATTTTTGCTGTGTTTTGTTTTTGCCTTCTGCGAATGGAAGTAAGTATGTCGGATAAAGAAAATAAGGTTGAAGGTGCAGAAGGGGGTGAGATGTTAGGTTCAGAAGAAGCTATGATCAAAAAGTTGATTGCAAGTGGAAGTTGACATACTGCCAAAGATAAGCACGCCCAAAGTTGTTTCTGGAGCATTTCCTAAAACATATTCTGTTGGAAGAGGTAGAGCTAAACTGTCAGATAATTTCAGTTTGAATCAAACAAAGGATGATCAGGTAGTAGGACATAGTATGGGACATTCTCAGATTATTTCAACAGAAGTAATTCCCAATATCATATAGGCTAATAATTTAAGAGACAGGACAGGCGTTTAGATAATACATTTTCTCTAAAATATGATATGATGTATTATTTTGGAAATAATTGCTGAAATTATTGCCATGTTTCCAAAAAACTTTTAAAAATTCAATCCGAATTTCCTCTGTTATAAAATATACAGGTTTCATTATTTAAAAAAAAAGTAAAGGTTTGCGAACGAAATGCATGTATATTTTTGCTGAGTTAAAGGCAAAATCTTTATGTTATATCATAGAATCTTTATATGTTTTATACATGAACTATATGACCTGTATATAAATATTTATCAGTGCCAACACAATTACAATAATTGTCAAGGGTGTAACATACTAGTATAAGAATCACCAATTGTTCATACAATTTTATACAATACACTGCATCTAGATTTTGCGGCTATACAATGTACATAAACCACACTATAATATAATTTACACAATAATACACAATGAATATGTATTACAATGATTTCTAAATATATGGTATTTCTTAATAAATAAGTGTTATTTTCAATATTTCTGTACATCGACTATCAAAGGTATATGAGACAAATTTGATACTTTTCCTTTCAAGAAAAAAATACATCAACTTCCTTTCAAATATTAACTTATAATTATTGTATTTTTGGTAGCTAAATAAAAATGAAATACATCTTAAATCTCTCCTGTGTAACAAATAATTTACAAAATTTTTCATTAGGGAGTGCTTATAGGTAAATCCCCTTTTCTGTGGCAAGGTTATGTGCACCAAGTCTCAAGCTGTTAATGATTGGTCTCTCTGTTCTTTTTTTTTTGGGGGGGGGGATATCAGTTTAATTCACAGCATCTGAAATCATCAAAAACAACAATAACTTGATAACATTTTAATTTGGTGAATTATGAACCTTTTCTCTTTTGAATATTGATCTGATATTGTTTGTTTAAATGCTTCTCAGATATGATTTTAATGAATTTGAGGAAAAATCTTAACTTGCTGAAAAATGAGAAAATCTTTTAATTTCACCACTCACTTGATGTGCGAATTTCTTGCTGAACATCTGTTCACCTCCTGAGAGTCCAATTTTTTTGCTTACAATTATAAAAAAAGGATTAAATATATGCATAGCAGTAAAAATGCTGCATTACATGTTACAGTGTATTATACTTTCAAGTTAAATACTAAAATCTGATTAGTTTAGATGCATCTAACAATCCTTATTGTTATACTTTTAAAATTTTGTTCCTATACAAATCTATACATTTCTAATGTTTTGCTGAGCGGGCATAAAACAATTGATATTAATTAAACCACTGAGTGAGATGTTGGACCGGTCGATGAAATGTTAGACCGCTTACATGTACTGTACATCACACAATTGGTGGAGCTAAATAAATATTGAAATGAAAGGTATCACAAAACATTTACTGACTGTGTTCTCAAGCAAATAAATTTTTTGTCGATCCTCAAACCAAAATGTCTGGCTTTGGCCTATTCTCTCAGGCAGACACTTTGGATCTTGGGTCTGATAAGACGCAAGTTGCCCTTGAACTCAGTAATATTTAAAATTGACATCCCTTGTATCAGTTGACAATGGTTTTCCTCGGGGTGTCAATTTAGATTGTAGCCCTCAAAAACATGCACTATTTATAGTTTACTTAGATACAGTTGTGTTCATATTTCTTGTATTTATGTACCTCAGTAGTCCATCTGCAAGCAGATTTTGTTCAATCATCCTGCCTAAGTCTGGCCTTCAGTCTACCTTCATCTACAAGTAGTCTACTCCTGGGTAAATTAAGTACTGTAGGGCTGTTTGCTGGAGCTCCTAAGAATTAAATATGAACAGTTCTTAGACAATTGTTATTAAATGAACAAAAACTTGTTGTAAGATTAAACATTCAATCTTATATGTATTTCATTTATTGATTTATAAAAAAAATGAATGAAGTTTTTTAAATAAATATATTTTATTTCATACACCACGTTGTATAACAGTGTATAATGTCTTATCTAAATTTGTACTATAAAAACTTTTAAACCTAAAAACACAAAAAAAATACAATAATATAAATAATTTCAGGACCATTGTGTTTCATTTTGCTCCATAAATTAGACAACTGTTTGTCTCAATGTTATTGATTTTTCCACACAATATATACTCATTTTTCACTTTGATTTGTACCCCAACGGAACACCTTACTTTTCTAACAACTTGATGATTGCTGTGTCTTTAACAAATAAGGCTAGTTAGTAATGTAACTTGTTGTAATTATATACAAAAAAATGCTATTTTTGTGAATAAATATTTGTCATAAAACTGACGAACACATGGAAATGAAAAATTTTTAAATCTCAAATGTTGAACAGTCGCGGGAACATCATACGAACTTACGAAGTACATCATGCATCAATATATAATATCCTTGCGAATTCCCATTTATCCGTAAAAACAATGTAATTCAATTTCAAAATTATGAATTAAATTGTCAGACATACATAACTAACTTACTTGTACAATCTCACTGCACAGTCCCCGACATGACATCAGGCGATCGAGGGAACGTGGGTCTGCAATCTCGCATGTTTGTGACCTTCGACAGTTCAAGTTTCCTTTGGTTGATCGGGTGTCCCGGGCATAAAGAAATGGGTGACTTAAAATTGTTTAAATCATCCCTGGGCTTCTACAATGCTTCAATAATGTTTACGGCTTGTATATTTTACAAAACAATCCTCTCGGGGTTATCTACGGGAAACGACCTGGACATGTTGAGATTCGCTACGGAACTGCACATTTTATGGCAATTGTCGCAAATCAAAGAAAAATCACGAACAACTTAATTTCTTTAATAGAAATAGACTCAACAATACATAAACTATTAAATAAAACAATAATTCTTTATTCAGATTGATTAAATATGTATTTTGCATTTTACGACTTCCAAAATCTATGGAGACCCATTGACGATGTAAAATGCTGACGAATCTATCTTTAAAGGGCGCGATTGCACGGCGTCACGTGATCACGTCATATGGTGAGTAAAAAAAGAATGTTTGCTGTAACTATTTCCGGAATAAGGAGCGTCATATGTTTGCGCTTGACAAAAGGGATTTATTTTCTAAAGTAGAGAAAGTATAAGATATTAAAGATTGTTACGATGCACTGAGAGTGTTGGTGAGCGTTGATCATATTTTTTATCTTCGTGCATGTTTTACGATTTGACACGTCTATCTATTGTTTATCTCTGAACATTGAAATCTATTTCATTAAAAATAAATTTGATTTATATCTTGAGGTTTATATCTTCATTTTAAAATTAGAATTTTATTTAAGATTGTTGTTTATCATAGGATCCACATCTATGTATAGATAATTTCCAATAAGAGATTCAGACGGCGTGATTTACTAGATACACATATGTATAAATATTGATGAACGAAGGCGATTTTGATAAACGTATTACGGCGAAGACCACTTATGCCTAGAAGACATATCTTTTTAAAAAAGAGGATTTTGTTTTCTCCTATAAGATCTTTAGCATTTTCAGCAGTAACATCGACCGCGTAAACATTCAATCATCGTCGCACATATATTGTACACGATTGTTGTAAAATGTTTTATGTTTTATGCGTCGTATTGAAACACAACACACTTCTTCTGAAAGAATACCAGGGAAGATATGTACATAAATAGTAAATAAAAGAAACATGTGAACTCATCATGCTTATGGGAATACATTTGAAAACTGTTTGTTTTTTTAATCACATGGACATGAACATAGATGTTTCACTCCAGCATATATCATAAAGCGACGGAAAGTTATTTCAATCAATGATTATTTTTGAATCAAAACAGTAGATCTATAGTTTTGACGTCAATTGTATCATTATGAAGTCACAATGGAGATAGCGCTCATCCATGTACAGGAGAAAATGAAGTGTACTACTTGAAAAGAATCGGAAGGAAAACTATTTGTAAATGACTAAATGTGAATATTTAGAACAACCAGAATTACTATAATTTGGCCAGTAAGATTATTTATGGATGAATACATTTATTTAAAAAATATATATATAATGCAGTTACAAGTTTTAGAAAATAACCTCTATTCATTCAATGTGTTTAAATGTCTGAACCCCACCCCCCACCCCGATTCCAGGTCACTAAGAAGAAACATCGCTGAGTGTTCAAAGCATGAAGAATGAGGCCTTTGAGGACTGTGCACTGGTTTATAATATATTATTTATTTATATTGATTATAGTAACAAAATGAATGTTTTGGAAATGAAAAACTGAGTTTGAAAAAAAAATAAAAGTTATTTTCGTGACCACTGTCGGTGATAAGTAAATCATTGTGCTTCACATATACATGTAAAATGAGCATCAGCTGCCAGATTTTCAGAGAAAAAGTATTTATTTATCTATACATATGGCCTTTATTGTCTTTAAACAGATTATGCATATTTAAGGTCCAACAACAAACCATCATATGAAAATCTGTGAAATCTTTTAATATTCTAGGAGGGGGGGGGGGGTCTGAAATGCGTGTACCTTCAAAATTAATCTGATTACCTTACTTCATATTTTAACCATAAGTCACTTATAATGACTAGTACAGCATATATAAGTTTTGGGAAAATTCATTGGGTAATTTTTTGTCTGACGTTAAAAACTGCTTTTGAGGTGAAAATATTACTGCAAATTTACAATTAATACTTCCCCAAAAAACAATGGCATTACTACATTTATCAATAGTTTCGAAACAATTTTTATTTTCAATAAAAGTAAAGCATATTATTAAATATCTGCAAAAAAATATTTAATTTGCTTCAATTTTGTTGCATGTATGGCATTATAAAACATTCACCTCATAAATATCAAAAGATTAAAAAATGGTGGTTACCATGGCAACCATAACTTCCTTATAAGCCTGATGACCATGCTGGATACTTTGATATAATGGTATTATTGACATTAGGAACGTTATATGTAAAAATGAGAAAAATTAATTGGGCAGAATTTTTCACGACCGTGCAATCCTTTCCTTAAATACATGTATTTCATTAATTGCATTGATTAAAATGAAGTATTAAAACCTGCATACCAGACTACTGACCTGAACCTATTTTCTTAGAGTAAATCCATTCATAAAATGACACAAATGCTAATATTATAAATTAAGTATAGAATATCAAATTCTCTTTTTTAAAAATAGAGTTAAACATGCTTAAATGGCAAACATCCTTGTAATGAATTGATGTCTTTTAGTGATGTGATTTTTATTCAACCTGGGTTATAAGAACATGTACATGTATATAAAGAAGCTAACAGATATAACCAATTGTGTTTCTTAAAGTTCCAGCTTTGTTATAACTGAGGATATTAGCTTACCCTTCTATGTTGTGGTAGTGATTCTTTGAAAAACATAAGAACAAAAATGACATCTATGATGGCTAAAGCAAGTGCAAAAAGGGCAGGGGCTGTGTAGAAGACTTCCTGTTGTTCTCGGGCAAATCTGGAGAAAACGGCTCCAATGATTGGTCCAAACACAAAACCAACTGAGAAGGCCACACCCATAAAGGCCTGAAACATGATCAAATTAGCTTGTTATTTCCAGTCCTACTTTTTCAAAAACTTGAATATTCACATCATTCTAATTAGTATACCGTAAATCTGGAAATTTTTGCTGCAGCTAAATTTTTAGCAAATTTTCAAGTTCATTGCATTTTCAAAAATATTTTTCATAAAAATAAATTACCAATAAAAAATGTAAACAAAGCAGTGGTCATTTGCAAAATTTTGAAACGTAAAAATTAATCAACAGCATTTTGACCCGAATTCGCAAAATAAAATCGACGTAAAAATTTCCAGATTTGCAGTACATACATTGTATGTAATAAAATAAAAACATTTTAAAAGAATTACAGTCATTTAGGGTATTTCGGGTCACTTTTTACATTTCTACTGCAATTAATTAAACAAACAAGATTATTAATGGTTCCTGGGCATTATTAAGAAGTTTATTGTTTGATTGAAAAGACTTACGAACCACATTGCGATTATCTTTGTTAAAACGACCGCAGTGGGGGCTTTTTCTAGACCTCCAATTTAAGGAATTGCGGGTCCTTCCGGTTATTTCGAGTCACTTTATAAACGTGTGCAAAACAGAACAAAAATTA